CTGCTTTGATTGATCGTTACAGCCCTCGACTCTGTTGTATCAGTATCGATTTTTTCCCCCACCCCTAGTATTTATTTTGTTGAACCTTTTACGCAGAGTGAAACCTGAAACCAAAACCAGACCACCAGAAAACAGCTATAAGTTTAGAAACTCACTCAGATCAGAGTAAATGAGCAATAGATATGTGACCACTCTTAGTGTTGTAAGTGACTAATTTACTTGGATCAATTCTATTGGACAATAGATAAATATGCCATTAAAGGCCAAACAGGCGTTACAAAATATCTACATTAACATTCCAAAGTATAAATCATCATTTGTGACTAACCCTAAGTCCAGTCATAAGTCTGACCATTAGAATTTAGCAGATTTAGAACCTTATTTTTAATAAAATTCAACAAAGAAAAATAATCTTTATAATGTGTACACTCAAAAACTAGCTACATTGCTTTTTCAAAACCAAGCCTGCTTTGCTCCAAAATACAGGGCTGGGTTGGTTTAGGGTAACCACCTAAGATGACTTGGGCTTAAGTGAGTTAGTAACTTAAGCTGTGGACTGCAGTGTTTTTGGTCTGCTACTAAAAGGAATATGTTAAAAAGAAGTAAAAAAAAAAAAAATAACTTGACAGTTGATGAAGACTTAATGAGCAGAACATCCAAAACACTCCTAAATGAGGACTCTACAGCAGATGATGAATTACTAGAGAAACGGTGACCACTTTCCTCATAAGTAGCTCCTGATTTACTGAACCAAAACTAAGCAAAAATGATTAACCATCTTTTCATTATTGATCACTTCATCAGTAGTTTGCACAGTAAGCTAAAGCGGCACGTCATACTGAGAAACTCCAAACTATCTTCAACATATCATGTCCTGTCTGCTCATTATCTATTAAATCATTACCATTATCAACATTTTATACAATCATTATCTACATTATCTTTCGTTATCATTATCATTTTATTGTCTGCATTATTGACTATCAATACCTCATTACCTCAGAAGCATTTCTTTAAGGCTTAATTATCAGGTAAATCTCCTGTATCTACTGACATATTGTGCACTAATTTATAAAGTGTAATATACTCATTCTTCACAGCTCATTGGTCACAGCTGGCTGTAGCTGATGGACAAATGCTGTGCTGTTGTGTGTAAAGAATATTAAATCCACTAAAATATCATTTGATCATTTGCAGATCTTCAACATTCACAGTTACAGGCATGGGGTAGGTAACAAAATATCTGAATCTGCAATGTATATAGAGTTTTTAATGTAAGGTTTGTATATTTGTAGTGACATTATCTGTTGCCAAAAGTTCAAAAGTCAATGTTGTCATATTTCTCCATCCCCCCAAAACAAATTAAAACTAGAAAAAGTTGCATTTCCTGCGAAAATGCAGTGTGAATGCTGTGTAGTGGAATCTGAAAACAGCATAAGGAGAACTATCTGCTGAAAACACTGTGTA